CTGGGAAGTTTCCCCTCTATGTGTGTGTATTTATTTCGGCCTTAGGCCATTTTGTGAGACTCATATTGTAATTCCATTTTCCATTTAGTAATACACTTGTTGTGTTTGCTATTTAAATTCCTAAATCTATATCTTAAGAGTGGTTATCTTAAGTGTGAGTTTTAGGTTCTAGATATTTAATTAAGTGTGTCATATCTTGATTGAATTCTAGATTCAAACCCCAAGTTAAGATAAGAGTGTGTTATATCTCTTAACACCAACTTGGTTTATCCCTTCACTTTACCTCTGCCAATTTCATTTTTCACCATTTCTTCTTCTTGAACTTATTCTTTTCTTTCATCAAAAACCCAAAAAAACAACTCTTTGTTCCACCCCCATATTTCGTCCCCCTCATTTCCTCTTCACCATTCCATAATTCCATCTTCAAATAGCAACTTGATTATACCCCGGGTCTCGGGTATAACACAAAGGGACTTATTTTCCACCCTCTTAATTTATGGGACCAACATAGCATCATACCTGAATATCATCTATTTTGATACATACGTTCGTTCCTTAGCTTTATATCTGGCATGAAAATCAGCTGCAACACTGCAAACATCAATGACCGTTACATCACCCTCATTTTTCTGCAGCATAGCAAGATTGTTAGCAGTTTATCAATCTCTAGTGTGTCAAACATGGAGATGTGAATTGTGAAGCTTCCGTGTCAAGAAACTTACAAACTGCTGAATGGTGGCTTTGTTGTCAGGATTGTTTCTTTTGGGGGGTGGGGGATTCAAATAAAATTAACTAAGTGCAATTTACATCAGCTAAAGATGAACTATTAAAATTTGACAAAATTCAAATTTGACATGCGTCTAAAATTTGAGGCCTTCCAATATTCTATGATCATCTATGGCACAATGATCTAAAAGATTCTAAGGAGCATATAATACTTGCTCCGTCGAAAAAATATTCATATCTGGACCCTTATTTTTTAGCCAAAAGGGTCATATTTAAACAAAAGGTAATTTTCATTTCATTAAATGTTAGCTTAATTTTCAAAAAAAAATCCCTAGCAACTTAAATATGTTAACTTTAGTTATAATATATTGCTATAATTGATCATTTCAAGTAGTTGTACCTTACTAATATTAAAAATGTTACACTTTTGAAGGGCTCGGGGTCGCTTGGAAACAACCTCTACTTTTGGGTACACACACCCTCCCCATGCCAGACCCTGCTTTTGTGGAATTCTATGAGGTTATTGTTGTTTTGTGAAGGACTCATTTATGGGACATAGTACTTTAAAAATTGAACAGGAGTTAAGGGGCAAAAGAAAATATTCAGATATCAACCTATGAAAGTGGGAAGCAGATAATCATAATATAAGAGGAATCTCTTGGATAAACAAGACAGACCTGTAAAAAATGGTTCACAGCTCTTTTAACCACTTCAGGTTCATGGGGCGGTAACTGCATTAAAGTAAGAGTTGGCATATTAAAAAAACCTGCACACATTAATTATCACATATCCTAACTCTGCATCTGTTGCAGGAAGTAAACAAAATTCCAAATCAAGTCTTGAAAGGCTAATGTTCAGTTCAAAGCAAGATATCTGAGTTAGCAAATAGTGGGGATTGGGGAAAAGGATGAAAGAATCTCAACTCGGTGAAAATGTCATACCAATAAAAATAAATCAGGAAATGTTCTCATTAAGCCTACCTACCAAAAAACCCCTTAGATAACCAATGATGAATGACTCTGGAAAGCATTAAAATGTAGTGCTCAACAAATTCACCAATATAAATCCTAAGCATCTTCGTCATTATGTTCATCTCACTAACTCGCCTCATTTCAATAAACGTGTGACTATTTCAAAACATTTATGGACAAAGTTGATAACAGGTCAATGATATAGTGTGATACTTGCAGCCAATGCAATACATCAATTTTATAAAATCCAGCAGAGAACAAGTACATGTAGAAAACGTACCAATGAAGTCATGATAACAATACCAAGGTGCAAACATAAATACAGAAATGAGTACTTTTGTAAAATAGCAAAAAATGTGCTCCTAATAAGTACTGTATTACTTACAAAAGTATACTAACCATAAAGTTGTTGAATGGGATTGCAATTATTGCATCGTTTGATGACTCAACATCTACATACATTGGCTAGTAAATAAACGACAGCTCTATGAAAGAGGTAATTGATTCAGCTACTCTACACTTCTGTAATGATGGTATGTCACCCACTTCAACATTCTAAAATACTACAAGAGTGTTATACAATAAGAGCCATGTTTGACCAAGATGCATTTCTTATCAAAGAAAATTTTGTGCAGGTACAGTTGCTAAGAATCACTATTCTTACTTATTTTATTAATGCATCTGAAGCCCTTACCTTTACTTCAGAAAAAGAGAATACTTAGGTGGATGGAGGGAGAAAGGATATAGACAAGTCTAAACCTGGGGCTCATGCGTTCAATCTCCTAAGAGATAATAGGAATCCTTAGAAAGGAACAAAACTACATAAAATAGATATTCAACCTTTTTCCATTTGAAGATGCGGAACATTATGGCACACAATCGGACACTTTTAGGGCACTTTATGACTTGTAGAAAGTAGAAACTAGAAAGTCTCTCATCTATGCATTCAAGCTCAATAATATGGAGTAGTGGGTGATATGGAGGTTAAATGCATTATGGTGCTTACTTTGTGAGCTTGTGGAAAGTCTAAGACTAGCAAATAGAGAAAACCAGTACGGATAAAACTATGAAAAACTCCCCTCCTCTCCAGGATGCCCCCGACCCCAACCCCTCCTACTCCCCAAAAAAAAGGCCTAAGAGACCTTACAAATGCAAAGGGTGGGATTAAAAGATGACATACCACTTCACCAGGTTTCCGCTTGCTTATCCTTTCCACATCTACATGACAAACATTTGATAACGCATGTACTCCTGCATCCTAAAACAAATTGCTCAAAATTGTTAGCTAAAAGGGAATACTCAACTTTTAGTCTCTTGACTAAAGTGTTTGTCTGGGTTTGTTCTTCGTCTTTCAAATAAACAACATTTGGTTGTAATGTAGTACTAAACGTTTCCAAGTTTGAGCCTCTGTTTGGATTTCAGTTGTCTCTAAAGGCCTGTTTGAGCAATAAATGATACTAATAAATATTTATTTTGGTTGACCCTTTAATCCATGTAACCATAATCTGCTAAATCAGCAGAAGTTCCATTCATATTTTTTGGGGAGTTCAAATCCAATACTTACAAGTTACAATAAAAGTCTTGTGGTTTTTTGTATTTTTATCTTAAAAGCATTGGGTTGCCATTTGTCTGTTCCCATGAATTCCTAGCAGATGACCGAAACTCTGAACATCTCAATAGTGTTATAGTAGGGGACCCAAATTGTCCGTTTCAAAGACGAGGGTCAAAATGAATCCAAATGTGGAATAATCTCTTTCAGATGAAATTAGCCATACATATGTTTGCAATTTGCAGAATAAATATGAAGAAACTTACAGTTCGACTTGAACAAAATATTGATACGGGCTGTCCAATAAAATTTTTAAAAGCTGCCTGCATCAAGTAATAAAATGAGGTGAGATTGAGAACCAGCGTGGGTAGATTATAGTTCTGCAAAAGTTAATCAGAGTACCAATTACAAGAATACTTCAAACTTGATCATTATCATTTCCAAGCTCTTCCCAGTGAGCGAAATAAAACAAAAAGTTCGAAATAAGGCGGCAAGAGAAAGGCCTTACCTCCAGAGCACCGACGACAGTTCGGCAATTGGATTGCTGCTGAGCGCCGGCGAAGCGAGTTCCGATGTACTCAATCGCAATCAAGTACCTTTGAGTTCTAGGGTTCGGAATCATTCGCTTCTCGCTCAAACTAAAGGCACTCCGATCTTCCTCTTCGACGTCGCTGTCGCCGTTGAGCTTTGCGACTTTTGAAGGCCGTTGTGGAGATTCAGTTCGTTGATCGAACGAATGTTTAGAGGTCTCAGATGGGTGTGATTTTTCGGCCGTCATTGGCGCTGGCGGCGATTTTGGGTCGTCCCAGTCCGGCTTGCTCGCTGCTTCCGGGGTTTTTCTCCGGTAATTTGATTTTGTTATAAAACCAGTTTGGGGAAAGCGTGAAATGTGTTATTGAATTACTCCGTATTTAAGGCGACTTTCATGAATTTTGGAATTAGGGTAAAATATAAATTATGAAATTTGATATAAATAATACCGAGTATGAATTTTAAAATTTGAAATGAATTTGTTTGAAAAGATTTCAAATTATGATCTAATTAGTGATAATCGAGAGTAACGAGTAAAGTGAGTGTTTGGCGGTAACAATGGTAGTCAGCGGTGGAAAATGACAAACGGTTGATATAGATATCGAATACCTATATTGATATTCCTCAGATGATACTTTTATCTAAAAGATTTATGATATTTGAATATATAAAATTTAATACCGAGTATCTGATTTGACTTCAACAAACACCAAAAAAAGGATTATGATATATGAGTATGAAGATATCAAACTCTATATTTTTTGCTCACAAAACACGCCAATAAGTTAGTGCTTAGGAATTCCTTTTTTAGTATTTGGAAATTAATATTTCTTTAATCATTGTATTTCAATTTCAAAATTTCAAATTACTCAATAGGCATATGGATTTACGATAAAATTTTGTAATAAATTAGATAAAAGTCAAATTTGGATTTGAAATCCAAATTTTAATTCTCAAACATAACCTAAAAGAATCTGAATTAAATATTTATAGATATCACAAATTTTCAAAAAATAAGGTTGTGAGTTGACCCCCACCACTGGCAGATTAATTTCACCTATGATGATACCTTAACTTTCAATTATTTTCATTTTGCTACATGAATTTTATTTTCTTTCACAAAAATGCATGAATTTTAAAAAACATCTTTCACGAATGATACTTGAATAAGAAAAAGAAATAGAGTCAAGGTGAAAAGTTTAAAGTGTGTGTCTGTGTGTGTGTGTGTATATATATATATATATATATATATAATTTGGCTCAAATGACCTGCAGATTACCTGAAAACGAGCTTCAGGTACCATTCTTGAAAGATTTTTTAATCTAGCTTAAAATTCAAGTACCAGACGTGAAAATTATCCCACTACCAACTACCACTCGCATTGCTCGTCAGCCAACCAATAACTAATTAAGTCATATGTAAATTTCATAAATGATCACTTATAACATTTCGTTTTTCATATTTAGTTTTCAACTCTAAGATTTGTAGCTATCAATATAAATTATAAAATTTTATTCCATGATTTGTCCTTCGGATCAAACCAAATATGACCAAATATTTTTTTTAGATATCATTCCCAAAGGACTGATTATAAATAGTCTTCAAAAGTTAAGAAGTATGAATGTAATAGCTAATAATTAAGAATCATTTATGAAAATCAAATCTCTCCAAATAAATTAATTTTAAATTTCAAAACTTATACGAAGTATTAATTTTCCTATATTTCAAAACTCATTTTATATCTCGAAAATCACCAAATGTCCCTCAATGTACCTACTTTATCGAAAATAGAGGGAAAATAAAATTGTAATCAAAATTGAGATGAGGAAGTATTATTATTATTATTCGTTGTTGATAAATAAAGAGTAATGGGTTGTTTGGCAACTTCTGAATAGATAAGTGCTGAACCAGTAAGGGGTCTGAACCATTAAGAGTTAATATTGCTTAATTATTCAGAGGCAAATGTCTGATCAATTCAGATAAGAGGTCTTAACCATTCAGACTATGTATAATATTTAACCATTCAGAGGCAAATGTCTGAACCATTTAGACATCTGAACTATTAAGAGACTGAAATAAACAACCCCTAAATGTAATAGGTTGAAGCTTAGAGTTGAATAAGAGTTCAAGAGGTTAAGTATAGCACCAGCGGTACACGCTTTATCGTTTTGGATCAGAATTTTGGATCTCTCGAGTGTGCAAGGGTAAATGAGACATTTTTCTCATTTCAGCTATTAAAACCCGGTCTCACTAGAACTCGGTGTCATTGCATAATAGTCACACATTTTATGAGGGGGCTTACGGCGGGGTTGGGGTGCAGGGGCGGGGGTAGGGTCGGGGGTTTAGGGGTGGGTTAGGGGGTAAAAACCGTCAATTTTAGGAACGGAGCACTGGAGGTGCTCCAAAATGACAGTGGCACCACTAGTGTCACCAACACTAAACCTCACCGTAATAATAATAATAATAAATAAATAAAAAACAACAACAACAACAATAATAACGGTGAGGTTCTAGTGACACTAACGTTTGATGACACTAGCGGTGTCACTATCATTTTGGGTCACCTCCGGTTCTCCGTTCGCTAAATTGATGGTTCTTACCTACCCTAACCCACCCCCTAAACCCCCACCCTACCCTGCCGTAAGCCCCCCACAAAATGTGTCGCTATTATGCATTGTACCGGAGTGTCACCGTACTCCGGTGTCACTAGAACCCACCATTATTATTATTATTATTATTATTATTATTATATATTATTATTATTATTATTATGATTATTATGACACAATAGTACAAAAACATGATGACACCCATTGTCATGTCCTTTCATTTCTTTCTTATTTCGTCCACTAGCATACATGGCTGCATGGGTGTCATCAATTGAGCTCACAGTGTCTGTCCCAGGGGAAGAATTTTCGTCCAAGAATTTTCTGTCTAGACTCCAAGATGTACGATGTAGTACATGTCTCCCATGATGTAAAAAGCATATGCCTCACAACATAAGAGTGTGAAAACTTGACCATAATCAGGAAGAACTTAATTACTGAATCCTTTATTGAACAGAAGAAAAAAAACCAGAGTTAGATTTCACAATGAGTTCAGGATTGGTACTCTGCTCACATTTCTTTCAAACAGCCCTGCTGTATTGCATCATCTTCATCTTCATCCCCTCTGCCCCGAAATCATTCGCTAGCAGCAACAGCACAGACTCTGCAGCTTTGCTCGCCTTCAAGTCGGAGATTCATGATCCTCGTGGAGCCATGAACTCCTGGAACGAATCTATCCATTTCTGCCAGTGGGGTGGTGTAACTTGCGGTCGAAGGCATAGAAGAGTGACCAAACTGGACTTAAACTCAATGGGTTTGGAGGGGTCCTTGTCTCCTTCACTGGGCAACCTTAGCTTCCTCAGGGAAATCAACCTCCATAACAACACTCTCCGTGGTGAAATTCCCAGCGAGTTGGGTAATCTTTTAAGATTACAAATTCTACTTCTAATGAATAATTCCTTGGTTGGAAATATCCCAGCAAATCTCTCACGCTGCACCAACATTAGGTTTCTACACCTAGGACATAACAACCTGGTTGGAAACATTCCCTTTGAGATTCGATTCATGACCAAACTCGAAGTTTTAGCATTGCATGAAAACCATCTGGTGGGAGGCATCCCGTCGTTTCTTGGAAACTTTACTTCGCTTCGAAAGTTATCTTTGGCACATAACTTGCTTGGAGGAACTATTCCTGATGAATTGGGTGGGTTGAAGAGCTTGACAGCACTGGGACTAGGCGATAACAACTTGTCTGGTATCATTCCTCCATCCATATACAACCTTTCCTCCATTATTATCTTTTCTGTGTCTCAGAATAGTCTTCATGGCAGTCTTCCACAAAACTTGGGGCTTTTCTTTCCTTATCTCCAACTCTTTGAAATCTCTTCAAACTTGTTTAGTGGGTCAATTCCAGTGTCACTATCCAATGCTTCAAACCTTCAAATTCTAGAGATTTTCAGAAACAGTTTGTCTGGAAAAGTTTTCGTTGATTTTGGAGGCATGCTTCAACTTGGGGACTTGAATATGGGGAATAATTTGTTAGGTAGTGGGGAACCTGATGAACTGAGCTTTCTGACTTCTTTGGTCAATTGTAGCAATTTGCAGCACCTAGATTTTGGCCACAATAAATTCATGGGGGCTCTCCCTAGTTCCATTGCCAATTTATCCACTAAACTTGGTTTTCTGAATATGCTTAGTAATCAGTTGTATGGGGATATTCCTTCAGGGATAGGAAACCTTGCCAACTTATACTTGTTGGACATAGGATATAACCAGTTCACAGGTGCAATCCCAGCAGAACTCGGCAAGCTTCATAACCTACAGTATATGTCTATTGCTCGCAACAAAGTCTCAGGCGACATTCCTTCTTCGCTTGGAAATATAACTTCTTTGGCTGAGCTTTATCTGATGAAAAACAAACTGCAAAAAACTATCCCACCTAGTTTAGGACAGTGCCAGAGATTGATGGCCTTGGATCTTTCTCAAAATGAACTTGTTGGATCCATACCGCAGCAAATTTTTGGCACGTCCTCTCAGCCAGTTTTGCTGAACTTGAACCTGAGTGGCAACCATTTGGCTGGATCCATGCCTCTCGATTTTGGTAACCTTAAGAACATTGTGAAACTTGATGTGTCATACAATAGGCTCTCCGGTGAAATTCCAAAAGGCTTGACTTCTTGCACTAGACTTCAAATCTTACACATGCAAGCTAACTCCCTTAATGGGTCAATTCCCCAATCCATAAGTTCTATGAAAGAATTGGAATTCATTGATATCTCACATAATAAGTTATCTGGGCGAATTCCTAACTCCTTGGAGACTCTTCATTTGGCATATCTAAATTTATCCTTCAATAATTTTGAGGGTGATGTACCATCTAAAGGGGTGTTTGCAAATGCCAGTGGTGTATCAGTTGCTGGAAATACAATGCTTTGTGGGGGCATTTCTGAACTAGGATTGCCCAAATGCTCGCAGCCAAAAAACATGCATCTTGTAGTTAAGATTATCATCTCCCTTTCTTGTGCTTTTCTAGGAGCAGCACTTTTGACATGTTCAATTTTTTGGATGGTCAAAAGGAGGAATGTCCAAGAGTCTTCTACAACCGTGTTGATGAAAGAACTAGCTCAAGTGTCTTACAATGATCTCCTTGAAGCAACTGATGGATTCTCTTCTACAAACTTGGTTGGTGAAGGTAACTTTGGTTCTGTATACAAGGGGACCGTTGATAAATTAGGAGAATTCGTTGCCATCAAAGTCCTTAAGCTTCAAAACAAGAAAGCTGCCAAGAGTTTCTTGGCCGAGTGCAAAGCCTTGGCATCTATTCGCCATAGGAACCTAGTCAAGGTCATCACCTGTTGCTCCTCTGTTGACTTTCAAGGCAATGAGTTTAAGGCTCTTGTTTATCAGTTCATGATTAATGGAAGCTTGGATACCTGGCTGCACCAGGTGAATGATAGGCAAGTTGAATCTCAAACACTTGGGCTTCTCCAGAGAATCAACATTGCTATTGATGTGGCTTGTGCAGTGGACTATCTTCATCACCATAACCCAACCAAAATAATTCATTGTGATCTAAAACCCAGCAATATTCTTCTTGATGCAGACATGACTGCTCATGTCAGTGATTTCGGGCTTGTGAAGTTTCTCTCAGGGCTCTCAACCTCAAATGAAAGCAGTTCTATTGGGGTGAGAGGAACCGTTGGGTATACAGCTCCAGGTAAACATAACAATCTTTGCACCTGTGTTTTTTTGTTTCATCTAACTCTAAGCTATACACATTTTGTACACCAGAAGATGTTGATTTTCTATCAAACACTTAACTAAGCTGTAAATGTAGAATATGGACTTGGAAGCCAGGTATCAACATACGGAGATGTATACAGTTATGGGATATTGTTGTTGGAGATGATGACAGGAAAAAGGCCAACTGAAGCAATTTTTGAGGAAGGACAAAATCTCCATAGTCATGCCAGCTTGGCCTTACCTAATCGTGTGGTGGCCATTGTGGATCCAGTTCTTCTAAATGATGGACCAGAAGATAATTCAGTAACCAACCATTGGCAAGGAACGCAAATCAGAGATGAAGTCAGAAATGCATGTGTGGCATCTCTGGTTCAAATTGGGGTTGTGTGTTCAATGGAGTCGCCACAAGAAAGGATGGACATAAAGGATGTCATTGTTGAGCTGCAAAAGATAAAGAACATGTTCATCAGGAATGGAAGAAGCAGAAGCTAATTTGGAAGTACAAACGTATGCAATGATCTACTGTTGTTCCTCCCAGTATAATAATGTCCAGCTAAGTTCCCTGGTGTCCTTAGATGATGGACCCTATGTCACTATGTGTCTTTTTTGTTTTGGTTTTTGTTTTTGGACATGAAACTGAAGAAGATCTATACCCTACTAATAGGTGTACTTAAAATTATTTATAGCTCTGGTTATTGTGTAATTTAGTCTTTATGTTTTCTTATAAATACTTGTTGTACACCTCATAATAAATAAGACCTTTTATTGCATCATGGTGTCGAAGTTTTGGGTGCTCGAGTTGCAGGGGTTATAGGGCTTCAGTATCTCACCACCCCTATTGTTGTGTCACATCTCTATTATGACAATGAATTACCAGCTGTTTCACCAAGAACCATGTACTTCATGATCACATGAAACATGTTGCATCTAATTGTCAATTTGGTCAGCTGAACTTCGAGTTGCCCCTGGTCACAGATCAGCTTGCGGGGATAATAGATGTACCAATAAATATTTAACGCTCTGGACTGTTATGTAATTTATTCTTTATGTACTGATTGTACACCTCATGATACGTAGTACCGAGTAGTAAATATCATAGCATCATTTTCTGTTTATATTGGTTGAACACTTAATCCTAGTGACCAATTGACCATAAGCAACTAAATCAGCAGAAGTTCCATTCGTATTTTTTGGGGTTTACATTCAATACTTACATTTAAAAACTTCTTATTTTTTGTTTGAATTTTATCTTAAAATCATTAGAGCTGTCATTTGTTTGACAGCAAGAAATCCTAACGAACTCTGAACTTCTCAATAGTCGTATAGCAGGGGGGCCAAAATTGTCATTTTCAAAGACGAGGGCCAAGATGAAACCAAATGTGGAATGATCACCTAATAACCTTTAGATAAAATACACATTAGGCATTTATATGTGTCCACTTTCCCAGTAGCAGAATAAACATGAAGAAACATTCAGTTTGACTGGAACAAAATATTGATACCTGCTGTCTAATTTATTTTTTTTAAAAAAAAAAACAGCACGGGTTGAGTATAGTTATGAAAGAATTAATCTCAGGAAAAATACAAGAATAATCCAAACTCGATCACTATCATTTCCAATCACTTCCCTGTGAACGAAATTAAAAAAGTTCGAAATACTGCGGTAAAAGGACGGATTTATTCTGATAAGGAGTATTGGTGATGAAATTACCTCCAGAGCTCCCACGACAGTTAGGCAATCTGGTTGTTGCTGAGCGCCGGCGAAGCGAGTTCCGATGGACTCAATCGCGATCAAGTACCTCTGAATTCTCAGGTTCGGATTCATTTGCTTTTCTAAGGCACTCTGATCTTCCTATTCGTGGTCGCCGTTGAGTTTCTCAGGTGCGGATGGGTGTGATTTTTCTCTCGTCGTTGGCGCTGACGGCCATTCATGCTCTTCCAGCTAGCTGCTTTTTTAATTTGAAATTAATTTTTAAAAAAATATTTAAAATAATCTCAATTTTATACTGAGTATATGATTTTCCAGAAATAATCTTATCTTTTAAGTGTAATAAATTTAAATTTATTAATTTTTTTTATTTTTGGGTCATCTTTAAATTGCTAACAACGAGTTAATGAAAATGACCCCTTTTGACTAACAAAATGTTAGTAAGGATTTTTTTTAAATAGATTTTCATTTTTAAAAATTTTTCATTTAAATTTAAGAAATCACTCTACTTAGCACTCCAAGTCACCAAATATTATCACTCCTTAATATTTTATACGAATTTAGTTATTTATAGTGTCAATATCTTTCAAGCGTATCCTCCACCTTTTATTGTATTCTACTGTTTTTAATTACTTTTAATTATTTGATTAAACTTAGGTTATTCACGTTTCCACTCCTCCTCATACGTGCGGCTCCTCCTCATTCGTGCGTCTCATATGTGTGTCTCATATTTAGAATATTTTAAGCCTCTAAGAGTGTTATTTTGGTTTTTCTCCCTTTAAATAGTAGTGCTATATGTTTTGTATCCATGATTCTGATTTTGTCTTTTAATTAAACAACAAATATTCATTACACACTGTCAACAAAATGACTCTTTTGGGCAGTGTGTTTGTTTACTTGTAATTGTGTAGTAGGCAGTGTGATTTTTTATATGTCAGTATTTAATGTGGCAGTGTAGAATAAATATATATTATTATATCGTACAGCAGTGTGTAAGTGTATTATATCATGTTGGAGTATAATGTCCATTGATTTATGTGACAGTATTTTCACGCATAAATTCTACACTGTCAAAAAGTGCATGACTGTTTTCATGTATGAATTTCATACTGCCAAAAAAATATATAACTCTTTTAATATATGAGTTTCACACTGCCAAAAATATGTATGACTGATTTTGATGAGAAATAATAAGTGTTCAGTCTATATTTCCCAACTATTTACAAAGAACAATCAAACTGAGTCTATTTAATAAAACAGAGAAATAAGAGATTGTTCTTATGTAGATGCTCCTGTTATTCCTATAAAAGAAAGGGTTACTCCACCAAGAGAGGTGACCAATTTTTACACTCATCCATGTCCACTTCCTTTCTCCCTTTAGAATTCTTGTAATCTATTCCTTCAAAGAAGTTTCGAATTTTCATTAATGGCTTCCGAGTGCAAATCATGTATCGTGTATAATCCTTTGATATTAATAAAAATTCCCCATTGGCCAGGTACCGCCAAAAAAAGCTCGTGGTTTTCTCCGGATTTGGGTTTGTACATCAAAATCTTTGTGTTTTATATTTTGGTGTATTTTTTAGACTAGTTTATCATTTTTGCCCGGCTACAAATGATATATCGGTCGATAATTTATACCATCAGATTTCATGAATAATCTATTACACCAAAACACACTGACCAAACATGAGCGTTAATATATGGAATTTAATTTAATATATACGAACTTGTTTAGTCATTATACATTGATAAATTGCGTAGAAGGAGGATCTCGCAGAGTTATAGTAAACGGCGTAGGGTGATGTTTTCTACGTATAAGACACACGAATGAGGAGAAGCCGAACGTACGAGAAGGAGTGGTTAAGTGAATAACCTAAATTTAATCAAATAATTAAAAGTAATTTAAAATAGTATAATGTAATAAAATGTGAAGGATATGCTTAGAAGATAATGACACTATAAATAGCTAAATTCGTATAAGAATTTAAAGAATGCTATATACGTTGGATTATGCTATGTGTACCCCAAGGTTTGTACCCCAATTTGTACCCCACAGTTTTGCACCAACACTTTGTGTTGGTGTAAAACTAATTTTTGTTAAACGCACCAACATTTGTGTCCATGTGAATTTTTATTAACGCACCAACACTTGTGTCAGTGTAAACCATCGAAATGTTTGTGCAAACCTGTGGTGTACAAATGGGGTATATTTTTTGGTGTAAGTGTAGCATGGTCCATATACGTTTAAGCCATATACTCCGGGTATTTTAAGAAAACCAAACCATTTGTACAATGGGCCGTTATGGGCTCATCAGAAATCACGCAATCCGCTACTGGCTACACACACTGACACACAAACTCACCCACCGTGCTTCTATATAAACATCGAATCTAGGGCTAATTGGAACACAAACCTTCATCGTCTTCGTTGCGGCGTGTCTGATCTCGGGAGGTAACATCGCGAACGTAAAATTCGATTCTACCATATCATTCCTTCCCAGACATGATTATATATGTAAAAGCTGAATTTTGCTTGTCATGGCTGCAGATTTGGATTTCTAGCATCAGTTTTACAAATATTGTGAATGTTGTTATTGATTCGATTCCTCTTGCTAAGCATTATTTGTTTAAATAAGGACTGTTTTTTTTTTGAATTGATATCTCAGATTGCGTTACTCCCAGCATGTTTTTGGATCGAATTTGTAGAATTTTGATTTTGATTTTTTTCAATTATACATTAATGTTTTTAGTTTTGGCGTTGAATAGATTCCGTGAGCCGGTAGTTTTATTGGAAAAAGTACGATTTTCGATATACTATATACTGGTCATTTCATCATGTAGGAAAACGTTGTTTATTTTATTAAAGATTATGAACAAGTTTATATTTTCAATAAAAGGGGATGATTTGGTTTTCCACTGATTTCTAATGACTACTGAGATGCACTCCTAAAAAAATTCTATTTGCGATCAAGGCTGGAGTCTCTTAAGGGTTCTCTTGCACATAACCCCACTGTGTTGGGGGGATTGCAAAGAAGTACAGAAGAACCCAGAGAATTGGCTCATATTATAAGCCATAGGCCTTTGGTAAGGGTGTATTTTTAGTTGTTATTGAATGATGTGGACATCACATGATCTACAACTTAAACTGTCCATTTTTTATATATGTTCCATTTGGGTCTGGAGTCAATTCAGATGGTTGGCACTACATTTGTATACTTTTGACTTTTTTAAGTCAACCGTACCATATGACCTATTTTTAAGTAAAATATATATTGTATAGTGATTTGATAAAATAATATTTTGAAAAAAATCATATAATAAATCTAATAAATTATTTTTGTATCAATATGTAATGTTATTTTTATTTTATTTTAGATCAAAGTTTACCAATTTTGACTGAAAAAAGTCAAAACTGAACAGATACATGGGAGTACTTAGTACAATCTCCCCTATTTACAAACATTGCTATAATCACAGGAACATGGGAGTTGGTTTTTAACAGGCTTTAAAATTTCAAAATTGGCAATAAATGATTTTGTAGTGAAGTGTTTTTACCTTTTTTTTGTAACTAGTTGTTTGTTAATTTGTTTTCTAACCAAACATTTGCTTAGTTTCTAGCAAAACACATGTAGACATATGATTAGTTATGCACATAATATAAAGGATTACATCAACTAAGTTCACTTCAGGCACTTGAATTAAGGTTTTGGAGTATTCTTTCAGCAACTACAGGAAAAACCATGTCTCATCGCAAGTTTGAGCATCCAAGACATGGCTCTTTGGGATTTCTTCCTAGGAAGAGAGCATCACGCCACAGAGGAAAAGGTTTTTTCAAAATAGTTTTATTTTAGATTGCATCTTTTGTATTTCAATTTCATTATGCATTGCTCTTTGTAAGATGGATTATAAATCAGACTATTTCTTTATCTTTCTAATGCCTTAATTTGTTCCTATATTTTACCTTATTAAAATTCAGTGGCTTCTCTGTTCTTACTCTCAAAAGTGATATGATTTTCACTGTTTTTTTGTGCAAGCTTTTTTAATACACGTTCATGCTTTGATTAAGGGTTAGTAAAACTACTTATGGTTCATTGTGTAGGATGCCACTTGCAAAGCGGCCTATGGTTATTTGCGTCTGGGTTGCTTTGAAGGCTTATTTTTATACAGATTATTTTAGTTATAAGTTATGGTCTTCAATTGTATAGTACCAAACAAACTTGCACTTTCTTTAAGGAATAATTTCCTTATCATTGACAATCCTTTGTGGTATATATGCAGTGAAGGCATTCCCCAGAGATGATCCTTCAAAGCCATGTAGGTTAACAGCTTTTGTTGGCTATAAAGCTGGTATGACTCACATTGTTAGAGAGGTTGAAAAACCTGGATCTAGTAAGTTTTTACTCAGCTTTTACAGTTTTTTCCCAATTCCTTCATACTGTAAAATAAATGATAGATTAAGATTCAGGGATCACTGATCTTAATTTGTCTTCTAAAATAAACACCTTCGTTGTGTTTTTAATGATTGTTTTATGTGTACAGAGCTGCACAAGAAGGAGACATGTGAAGCAGTGACTATAATTGAAACCCCGCCAATGGTTGTGGTTGGGGTGGTAGGCTATGTCAAAACTCCTCGTGGTCTTCGCTGTCTGAATACAGTCTGGGCTCAACATCTTAGTGAGGAGGTGAGAAGGAGATTCTATAAAAACTGGTTCAAGTCAAAGAAGAAGGCTTTCACCAAGTACTCAAAAACACTTGAAACTGAAGATGGCAAAAGGGGCATGCAGTCTGAGTTAGAGAAGATGAAGAAGTACTGCTCTGTTGTTAGGGTGTTGGCTCATACCCAGGCAGCTTCATTTGCTTCAATTCCATTTGCACCCTGATTTTGGCCTATTTATGTTTGCAGTTTCTGTACATATATCTTGTAGGGTCCATTTGGAAAGATGGAAACAACTTTTGGAAAATGATTTCCGAAAAAATGAAGGGAGACAATGACTTTGGGAAATAAATTCTTATTCATGTGTTTGGTTGAAAGTTTGGAAAAAGAAAAACTAGCTTTTGCCCTTATAACATAAATAAATGAAATTTTTAATCCAAACGATAGGAGAAGGGTGGAAAATTTCTTCTGTCAAAAACAAAAGGAAATTGTTTTCCTCCAAATAAGGATCACACTCCATGACTGTAAAAATCAATTTCTATTGATTCTTTTTTTTCAGAACAGCCAAACACTTGAAAATGTTTACCCCATTTTCAAATGGACCCTTAACTGGAACATAAAACAGTGTTAAATATCAGGGATTGAATAGTGAAAACAATTACTCAGGATAAAATTACCTAAAATTCTTTATTTGTTCTTTTACAGATAAGAAAGATGACAGGTCTCAAGCAAAAGAAGGCACATTTGATGGAGATCCAGGTTAATGGTGGGACAGTAGCTCAGAAAGTTGATTATGCATATGGTTTCTTTGAAAAGCAGATTCCAGTGGACTCTGTATTCCAAAAAGATGAGATGATTGACCTTATTGGTGTGACCAAAGGTAAAGGATTTGAGGGTGTTGTCACTCGTTGGGGTGTAACTCGTCTTCCCCGTAAGACTCATCGTGGGCTCCGTAAGGTTGCTTGTATTGGTGCATGGCATCCTGCTAGAGTTTCATACACAGTTGCACGAGCTGGTCAGAATGGTTACCATCACCGCACGGAGCTTAACAAGAAAATTTATAAGTTGGGGAAGTCTGGCCAGGAGTCTCATTCTGCCATGACCGACTATGACAGGTTAGTGAAATAAGTAATTCTTTTATTTGGGCAAAATGGATGTTCTCTCCTTCAGAAAATGCACCCATTGGAGCCATTTAGTTATAACCCCTTTGCTAGTTACACCAATCTAATTTCATGGTTCAACTAATAATGTAGCACCAGTATAAGGTTTGATAAAAGAAATTATAAGCAGTTTGATTTAATCATGCGCTTAAAAAGTACATATGGTCCAAAAAGCTGGTTTGCAAAAGCTTTTTTTTGTTTACAGCTTTTATGGACATAAATATCCTCCCAAGTTTAAATCTATTTTACCTAATTGTTCTTTTAGGCACAGAAAATTTACTCAAGCAACTAACCTATAGGTTTCCTGACTTCATTCTCAACTGAGGACTGACCTGATTTGTTTCGTCTAAACCGGGTTTTGTGTTGAAGTTTTACTTATGATGTGCTTTTACATATCGTTATCATCTTCAGGACTGAGAAGGATATAACCCCAATGGGAGGGTTCCCACACTATGGAATCGTGAAAGAAGATTACCTCATGATAAAGGGCTGTTGCGCCGGGACGAAGAAGAGGGTTGTCACCTTGAGGCAGTCATTGCTGACCCAAACCTCACGGGTCGCAACAGAGGAAATCAAGTTCAAGTTCATCGACACGTCCTCTAAATTCGGGCATGGTCGTTTCCAGACAACGCAGGAGAAGGCCAAGTTCTATGGCGGCGTTAAAGCTTAAATTCTTGAAAGCCAGTTGCAATGGGATTTTTCTGCATTTTTGTTTTCATTTTTTTCATCTATCCTGCGGATGATTAGTTTATTTATGTTTCGTTTATGGCTTGCTCTTTCCAGCAAAATGGACCATGTGTTATTAAAAAAAGAAATTTTGCTATGTTTTACATTGACGATGCATGGTGTTGTTTTTTTCTTTAGTATTTTTGAAAATGCTATTCCAAGTATCTGGTAACTTAAGGTTGCAACAGCATGCAATATGTAGGGCAAGCAAATTTGGTATTACTCGTACTATGAAGTTTCAATCTCTTGGCACTTTAAAGGTGTGTTTGGAGAGCAATAAAAATGTGGGAGTTTTCATATCTCTAGAAAATTAAAATTCTTTTGGTGGACCAAAAGAGATACTTTTTGATATCACAAATCTTCTAAATAGGAGGCTTCAATATATCTTGAATTCGGAAGATATTAATACGAGAATTTTATCTCTTTCAATCATTGTCTCTGCTAACCATCTTGTTGTGTCTTGTCTATCACATTCATATTGTGTCAACACAAGATACTAGCCCTTTTAGCACAATCACGATGTTCTGTTTGCAAAAAAGATATATCATATCTTCTGATAAACACACACCGCCCTAAATTTATTCTCGCACTCATCAATTGCACCTTGTAAATTTAGTTGATTGGGTCCATTTGGATTGGGAGAGGGGTTTACCGGGATTACAAGAGGTAAAAATCATAAATTTTATGAACAAAATATCATAGGTGCTTGTGTCATGTTCATACTAATTTGCAGGGTCAACTAAAGTGTCCCAAAAAGCACCTAAGTCTTTCTCAATGATGAAGGAGCCTTAACAGCTCCCCATGCCATTTGCTGCACTTGTCAAAAACATTGTAAAATTAAAATTAGGCTAAGTTGTTTGTAACATATTTTATTAGGTCAAAATAGTTTTGTTAGCACTCTTAGAGGGTGTATGGAAGTATCTAAGAAATATAGCTTTTGAGCAATTGAGCTTTTATTACACCAAATTACAATTTTAAGTCTTTGTAAATGAAGTTAGATTATGGAATGTGACTTTCGAATTGTAAAATGTATTGCATAAATGAGTTTCTCCCGAGTAATTGCTTATATGAGTTTGGTAGACTCACAAACACACACTCTTATATGAGTTTGATAGAATATAAACGTTTACGAGATACTACACTATTACTACGTATTTTAATACTTAAATTAGGAGAATAATATATTTTTTGCAATGACACAAATAATTACAAATCATGACCATTTTTGGGAAATCAAGAACCATGCATGACACAGAGAAAATAGACCCTTTTGTTATACGGAGTATTAAAGAATTTTTAACAATTAATAACTTCATAGTAATACGAATAGTAAAATGTTAAATTTATAGTATATACACACACAAAAGAAAATGTCCATGCCCAAACCATATATACAAACCCAAAGAAAATTTTATAAGATACTCGTATTAGTGAGGACTTCATTATATATTCGTTGTTGTCACCAACTAAATAATCCATATTACTGAATTGCCCAAGAACATAGGTTTAAAAAGCACACCAATGCTTCCACTAAAGCACGCTAATGTTTTCTTAAACCTTTTCAACTATGTACTCGGGGTATTATTTTTCACATAATGACTTACCTAAAAAAGATTTCAAACAAAATAAATGAGTCAGTTGGATAAACAAGGGAAAAAGTAAAAGAATAAAATAAAAAGAGACAACAGAATTTGACCGTGGCCACTCCATCTCTCACGTAAAGCAATCCACATGTATCGATCCTGACATCATGGTAATTAGTTAGATGTTAAACATTTATAATTTGAAAGTATCATTCTTTTCCATAGTTTGGAAAAGAGTAAGAAGTTGAAAAAAAATTGATAATCAACGAGATTAGTTATTTCCAATATTTCTCTCATAGTTATAAATTTTACACCCTCTCCCCCTGATGGGTAATAACCCAAGGATACCACCCGGTTGGTTCACCGAACAGCACGCGTCTTTTTCAGCCCGAGTTATTTGACCGGTTGGATGAGGAGACCAGATGCCAATACCCGAAGATTTACTTTCAAAGTGCACCTGGTGGGCCGGTCAGCCGCCTGACCGGTTGGATAATCAGAGACGTGCTTGACGTGCTTAGGATTATTATAAATACCCTTAAAAGCCTCATTTGTGAGGCATGTTTTAATTAACCTACACGGCTTGTATTTGTAATAACATCTATTATCATTAATAACAAATCGGGTTACAGGTGATTCCACCTACAACCCTTCCGATTACTCACACTTAATATTTGCGTGGTAATTTACACCATCAAATTGGCGCCACCCGTGGGACCTATTACAAAAAAGTCATGGCCAGTAATCAGGAAACCGTGATCTCACAAATTTCTACTCCCGTTGAGAATGTCATTTCATTCCCGGGAGGAAGTTCCCAACCGTCAAGCCAGGTTCCTACCCCCATCATCACCATTCCACCACCTATCCCATTCACTTCCTCCGTGAACCCTGTTCCCGTTTTTCCTTCAAATTTCCCCGGACCCCTTGATCCAATGTACAGCCAGGCTCTTCAGAATTTTGGACATTTCATGTCCATGTTCCAGCAGCCGGGAGGGTTTTCACTTTTCAATCCGGGATTGTATCCACAATCCTCGCCTCAAACTAACGTCATTCGCCCGATCGTTCCGACAAACCTGATCGGGGAGATGG